CCCCCCGGGAACTCATATCTTTTTTTAATGGGATCCAACCTTTTATGTTATGTTCTACAAATACACAAAAAGAATCACAAGAAAAGATGAAGGACAATTAGGCAAAAAAAAATCACAAAAACCAAGCTGCAACACAGTTGCAGATATACCATAAAGCCAGCAATGTGGTCTGGGGAGGAAGATCCATCATTGCACCTTAAGTCCTACTGAACATTTTTGGATCTTCTCACCATAGAATTGGCTACAGACAGCTGTCAGGGAGACTAGTCTAAAACACACAGTAGAAGAACCTGCCTTGATCAGGAGAATGAAACACTGGAACTTACTGAAGGTTTCTTCTCTTCAGTGGGGCGAAGTCATCCAAACTGGTTAGGTCACGCCTCCTCTTGCTCAAGGCAGGGCGATGCGAATTTGCGTGGACTGCATTGGCTCAGAGAAGCTGACCCTCCAGTCTTAGTATAGCTCAACTTCATAACGGATTTTACATCTGAGTAGATTGTGTGTGACTTCACCCCACTGAATAGAAGAAGCCTTCAGGTAAGTTCCAATGTTCCATTTAGGGTTGCCAAGTCCAAATTAACTTACCTCGGGGGAGTTTCGCGCCGTCCCGGGAGTCCGTGTGTGCGAAGCAAATGACGCCGTGATGACGCCACCCGGAAGTGACGTAATCACGTCGGCACGTTGGGGCGGGGCCACTAGGATTCAAGGGAAAACCATAGAGTTTTCCCTCAAATCATAGAGCGTCCCACCCCCAACGTGGCCAGCGTGATGATGTCACCTCTGGGTGACATCATCACACTGGGGACATGTGCCGGAAGGGGGTGGAGTTCCCCCCGGGGCCCGATTTGCTGGCGTCGGGTAATGGGCCTCTCGGGAGGGGGTTTACCCGCCCGCCAGGGGGACTTGGCAAGCCTAGTTCCATTATCCTTCAGTGAGGGAAGTCATCCAAACTGGTTATATGTCCAAGCTACAACCTGGGTGGGATCCTAATTTTTATTTTTATTCTGTTGCACCACTATGTTGCACAATTTTCTACCAGATGAAGCTTCCACAGATTTTAATTGGTTCCACTTATACTGTCACACAGGTATAAAAGGTGGACCAGGTTACAGCTCTACGGATTCTTCCACCAGAACACCGCTGGAAAAGTCACTGATGTTGCTACAGATCTGGTGGAGTGCGCCACAACATCCTTTGACATTCCCAGGCCTTGCACTTAATATACCTTTTAGATATATGGCTTGAGACCATTTTGCCTAAAGGCTGTGAGCTGTGAGACACAGATAGAAAATCCTTTGGCCTAATCTGTGCCATCCTATTTAAGCAGACGCACGGAGACCTGTGCACAAAAAAGATGTCTCCGCAAGAAAAAAGGCTTCTTCCGAGAAGGAAACTTTATTTTCTGACTATTTGAAAGAATCAAATGGAGGTTTCCTCAAGGCCTGTAACACTAAGATTCCCAGTAGGCAATCTATGCCTAATGGGAGGTAGCAACAGTATGGTTACTTTGAGAAAAAGCCTAATGTGCCTATGAGAAGAAAAATCACGCAGTCTTTGTGGTCCCACATAGTGGCCAATGCTGCAACCTGTCTTATAAGGTATCGGGTCTTAGAACCTGATTCCAACCTTTGTGGGAAAAGGGAATTATGACTTTGTAAGTAGGTTTCAGTGGACCAGATTTCTGGTACTTGTTGTTGTTCAGTTGCACAGTCGAGTTCGACTCTTCGTGACCCCATGGACCAGATCCCGCCAGGCCTTCCTGTCTTCCGCCGTCCTCTTTTGAATGTCAGCCACGTACGATTATAGAGAGAACTGGAAGTAGGAATTCTGGACTGCACCATGGTGTCAACTACTTAACTCGGAAGGACCAATCCTACTAAATCCGCCAGTTCACCCTCTGAACTGTCAGCTGGAGTCAAATAGGGTCTGGCTGGCAAACTGATTCTTGTACAAGGAGAACCCTTCTGCTTGGCAATCTCCACAGTGGAGATATTGACATCTTCACTAGCTCTCAGACCCAAACAATTCTGTGCCAGAAGGGAGTTATGAAAATCACCTCCGTTGCCTCCTTTGACACTTCGTTCAGGCCTCAGCTGATCAGCATGGTCGGAGGGAAGGTGTGCAGCAGAGACCACTGGGTCAACAGCAAGTGCCTGTGTCCTCGCCCTCTTCACTGGGATCGTAGAAACTGGTCAGAAACCTGGCAACTTGATTGTTTGATGTTTTTAAAAGATCCAAGATAGGGATCCCGAAACAAAGTGTGATTTTGCCAGAAGATCTTTTTGTTTAGACTCCATTCTCCTGGATCTAAATCCTTCCTGCTCAGCCAGTTGGCTTGGAGGTTTGTAAGACCGTATACGGGTGTTCCGCTTTCAGAACTACAACATTTTTCTCTGCTCAATGGAACAGGATTTTGGATTCCCAGAGGAAAACCATCAATCTGGTGCCTCCTTGCCAATTGATGTGTGCCTTGGCTGTACTATTCACTGTGTGCACTAGCACATATGTGTTCCTTGATAGGTTCTGGAAGGCAATCAGTGCTAGTCTGATTGCCCCAAGTTACAGCCAGTTCATACTGTTCATTTCTTCCAACGAACTCCATCTGCCTTAGACAATCTGATCTTTGCAGTGTGTTCCTTGGCCCCTTCTGCTGGTGTCTGTAATTACCATCAGGTAAGGAGACTGGAAGAAACGGACTCTTCTTGTCAGATGTGGTCGCAAAAACCACTAGCTTGGTGACTTCTTCTTTTTTTTTTGAGGGGGGGAGTTCTTGACTTATTTTTCCTTTGTGTGTGTGTGTGTCCTTCTGAGAAGGAAGAAGAAACCAGAAATGGAGCCAGAGATGAGGGGGTTCTAGGGATATGTGAGGGAAGGGAAGAAAACAGTACCCAACAGCCAGAGTCCAAATGCAAGTACTGTAGTGTTAAAATATTAATACAAAAATATCCATGTGTAAAAATTAAATATAAGCTCCTAGAGCCCAGTTAGTTATCTCAAGACCTTTGCAGCCAACGACCAGGACCCTGGAAACGGGGGGGCGGGGGGGGGGGGGGGGGGGGGGAATCATCTGCATGCTTTTCGACTGCCTCTCCCACAAGTAAAAAAGACTCACTTTAAAAAGAGAAAGAAAATTCAGGCCTGGAATATTCTTCACACACAGCCCTGCCTAGAAATCGAGATTATTTTCAGTGGCCTGAAATTGTTGGATATTGTAACTCTGCATGCAAGAAGATCTGGGATAGAAAGGGTTAAGATAATTCTCTCCCACTGGTACACTTGGCAGTTGGCCCCAACCTCTCATCTGTTAGATGTTGAGCCTCTTTGCCTGTCCCTTGCCTTCTGTTTCATCTTATATAGGACCTCTCTTCTCTCTTTTACCTGGGCTTGGAGCTGTAGCAAGTTGACCTTTTCTGAAGTTAATATGTTCAGAATAAGTTTACCATTGGAGTCAAATCATCTTTGTAAGTTGTGTAATTTGTTTGAACAGCATTTCCCCCTGAACCGAGAAACGTGGAGAATCCAGGATACTGTGTAAAGCTTCTGTGCTTCCAAGAAATAAGGTGGCTGGGGAAGACAGACAGCATTCTCTGTGACAGTGCCACGGGAATTCCTTCCCATGCATATTGTCCTTTCTACAAGAGCGTCTTCTGGCCATGCAGCCATTTTGTGACTGGATTTGATATATCATACATACATACACATATACATATGCACATGTGTGCACACACACAAATTTTAAATGATATGGGTTTCTAACCATGCTGATAAGAGGAGAAGCGAAGGGCCCCCTTGTTGGCTGATGGATTTGGTTTTTAATTGTGCTGCTGCTATTTATGTCTTTAAAGTACCATCCTAAGCAGACCATGGAAAAACAGGCACAGAAGGGTGGCCCTGTCAGTGTAATCTACCTTGACAGTCCATGGTTTAATTTTTGCACACTGAGATTTTTGTGTCAAATTTTAATACTCTCCTTGCTGCACACTGATTTCTCCCCTTCTCCCCAGAAATCCTTAGAACACCCGACATGTCTGGTCTTGTTTCAATAGGGCAAGATTATTTTTTTCCCCACGGAGGGTGGAATAAAAAAGTCAAAAGATGTGTTTAGTAAACAAACAGCCCTAAGAGGTCCCAGCCCTGCCTCATGTTACACTTCCAAACAAAAGCTGCTTTGCGCTGTGTGAGGTCAGAAAGCATTTTTAAACATTATTTATTTAGAGAATGTGTATGTCACCTCAGGGCAGTTCACAACGTTTTTAAAAAGAACACAAACCCTGTAATTTCCGACCTAGGCTGCAGAAGCTGGATTGTCTGCCTCAGAGCTTTGTCCTATCAGATTCTAAAGGGGAAAGCTGTGCCTTTTGGGAACAGCGTTATGCAAGGTACCCCTTGGGAGGGATGCTCCATGGCAACCCCCAAGACTGGCGCCTTTTCTCTACCACTACCCCCACCATTTGAGTCTGACTTTTTTTTTTTTTTAAGTGACAGACAGCCCCTCATCCTTTTCCAACCTCGGAAGGCGGGAAAGCTTCCCGTGCTCGTACCCATCTGTTAAAGCCACGGGAAGCGAGGTCGCAGCGCCCAGTGGAGCCACCCGGCCTTCTTTGGGGATGTACTAAAAGGAAGGACAGGAATGCACACAATGGGAGACGCTGGAAGACCCATTGGAAATAATGGGAGCCTGGAATGCCAATTGACTTGCATGGGCTCCATTGGAAAACATTAGAGTACAAGTAGAGTTGCAATAAAAATGCGGAATGGATTTTCCATTAGGGTCTCTGGGCATCCTGTCCTTCCTTTTAGTACATCCCCTTTCTTTGCCCTGTAACGATCGGAGTCCAGAGAGTTCCCTTTCAAGGCTGCCTCGTAAGCCTGACCGCGATGCTCTCCGCCCTCCCCCTTGCATGGAAAGAGCAATCGCGGTCAGCGGGGCTGTCAGCAGGTGGGGATTTAAAAAAACAAGCCCCGAAGGGCAAGGCGACCGGCGCCTCCATAGCACGTACCTTCCCCGGCCACTTGTTCCCCGGCGCGCAGCGTTTCTGAAGCAGAGGCCGGCATGGCAGCTCTCCCAGGTCGGGCGGAAGAAGCGGTCGCGGAGGCGACAGGCGAAAGATGGAAGCCGAACCCCCGACTCTTCCGCCAGACTAGGAAGTCGTAGCTTGGTGGGCGGGCCGATACAGGACCGCGAGCGTCTGCCGCGTCCCCGTTAGCCATGGGAACTTGCCCAGCGTAGGAGATGGCCACGGGGAGCTCCCTGTTTCTGGGGCTCGGGGAGCACTTGCCGCCTTGGCTGTTTGTTTTTGCTCCAAGCACAATTCCTTCCCTTAACCTGGAAGAGCTTCTCTGGCGAAAGAGCTTCCCCCGCAGCAGACACCTCTTGATCTGAGCCATTAGCGCAGCTTCTGACCTGGTCTGCAGGCAGGGCTTGTGACTTCCCATTCCCACAATTAGAAAAGACACCGTTAGACATTTATCTGCTAGTTTGACATATTTATTGCTTTACAACTGTTGACCTTATAACCCTAACTTGTTATTTAGTGTCACTTTGCACATCTTCTTCTTCTTCTTCATCATCATCATCATCATCATCATCATCATCATCATGTTGCATGTAAATTTGCTGTTCATTCTCTGGTTATAAGTCTGAACCTTGTCTGCCATTCTAATGTAGAAGAAGAAGAAGAGATTGGATTTATACCCCGCCCTTCACTACCCAAAGGTGTCTCAGAGCGGCTTACAAACTCCCTTCCCCTCCCCACAACAGACACCCTGTGAGGTAGGTGGGGCTGAGAGAGCTCTCCCAAGAACTGCCCTTGAGAGAACAGCTCTTATCAGAACTACAGCTTGCTCAAGGTCATCCAGCCAGGGGCAAGTGGAGGAGTGGGGAATCAAACCTGGTTCTCCCACATTAGAGTCTGCGCACTTAACCACTACACCAAACTGGCTCTCTTTGTATTTGATAAAGTGTGTGTGTGTGCACAGGAAAGCTCATACCTTGAATAAACCATTGTTGGTCTTAAAGGTACCATTGGACTCTAAATTTGTTCTAGTGTTTGTGACTAGGGTTGCCAGGTCTGGGTTGGTAAATACCTGGAGGCTTTGGGGTGTGGATCCAAGAGAGGGCAGGGTTTGGGGAGGGGCCTCAGCAGTGTACAGTGCCATAGAGTCCATCCTTCAAAGCAGCCATGTTCTCCAGGGGAGCTGATCTCTGTCAGCTGGAGATCGGTTGTAAAAGCAGGAGGTCCCCAGGCCCCACCTGGAGGTTGGCAACCCTATTTGTGACTGTTATGTTTGTTCAGATATTTATACCTTGCTTTTCTCCCCAGTGGGAGACCTTACAAGACTGCTCCCTTCCTCCGTTTTTTTCCTTCCAACAAAGGGTTGCCAGCTCAAGATTGGGAAATACCTGGAGATTTTGGGAGTGGAGCTTGGGGAGGGTGGGGTTTGGGGAGGGGAGGGGAAAGACTTCCATGGGATATAATGCCATAGAGTCCCCCTTCCAAAGTGGCCATTCTCTACAGGTGAAGTGATCTCTGTCACCTGGGGCTCAGTTGTAATCTCAAGACATTTCCAGCCACCCCCTAGAGGTTGGCAACCCTATTCCTAGAATAATTTTGCTGAGTGACTGGCCTAAGACTCCTCAGGAATTTGAACCCGGGTTGCCCAGGTTCTAGGCCAAAATTCCTAACACCACTAGGTCTGTACAAAAGTGGGGAAATCTTGCCTGCATGTTAGTAATCTAAATAACAGCACTGATACAGAGTGTTGCTGACCATGTGTCACCATCAATGCCATTTCTTCCTCCATTTTTTCTCTCACTCCTCAAATTATCAAGTACAACCCATTTGAACAGTGCATTTGCATCTGTGTCTGTGTATTCCCAGCCCTCCCATTCTGTAAACAATTGCATATTCTGTCTGTGCATACTGTGTTGTTTTTTTAAAAAAAAATAAGCTTAAGAGGTACCTTGATGGATCAGAACAGTGGCCCATATATATCCCAAGCATGACAGGGTTTGCACATATCCCATGTACACACACACACCCAGCTTCCTGACTTGCTACAGGCTCTGAAAAGTCAGGAGGCTGATGTTGCTCCTAGCACTGGTATTTGCCTCTAAATGTGGAAATACCCTTTAGTCATCATGGCTAGGAGCTACTGATGATGTCCTCCATGGATGTCTAATCCCCTATTAAAACCATCTATGCTGATGGCCAACCCTGTGTTCCACTGGCAGTGGATTCCACAATTATAGGTTTACTTCCTTTTATTAGTCCTAAATCTGTTGCCCAACAACTTCCTTGGGTGCCCTTGATTTCTAGTATTTAGAAAGGGGGAGGAAAAAAATTCTGTGTCCACTTCTTCTGCCCACATCCATAATTTTATGTACTTCTATCATGTCTTCCCTTAGTAACCTTTCTTCTAAATAGCAAAGCTGCACCCCCCCCCCCAAGCCTGTTGCCAGATATTCTTTACTTCATCTCATAGTCTAGGCATTTGTCTTTCGAAACATTTTGTGCAGTTGTTGCATTCAGCCATCAGATTTACATCAGATTTTGGACCACTCCTCTCCTCTCCTTCATTTTTCTGTGTCATTTCCTGTAATATTTAGGGATCATCATGCTCGAAATATTTGCAGATATGTTAAATGTAATCAGGCAAGATAATAAATTAGCAAAACTTTTGTGTTTTTGGTGGGGCAATCGGGTGGATAGGAAGCTAGAAGGGGAAAGCAACAAGCTAAGCCCACAAAATATAACAAATGGAAAAAAAAAACCATTTTATGGGCATGGGGAGTTTGTGTTCTATATAGCCCATACATTGCTTATTCAAGTCTGTCATCTATCCATTCAGCAGATGTGACGAAATGCAGATTGCAAGAATGCAGCAGTCCAAATGGTCAATGGAATATTGTTGTGCAAAATTTAATGTAAGGCAAAACATTCCACCACCACCCTCCACACTCACACTCCCAGAACAGGGAATGCAGGAAACTCCCATGGGGTTTAAGCACAGTAACAAAAACAGATTTTGCTACGTGTAGGTGTGTTGTGTCAGTCAGGGCAACAAAGACAGCCTAATGCAAGGTAGCTTTTTTCATTGCACTGAATAACAGCTGCTTCTCGGATTCCAGAGCCCAGAGGCTTAAATGCCTACCTGTTTCAGGTACACATGACACAATTATGACGCCTACGGAGGAGAAAATGTCTCAGAGAAAGTACGGAGTGTCATGGGTCTGTGACAGCATGCACTGAATATTAAACAACAAAAATGTTTCAGGGCATGGCAGAGGAACTCCTGCTGCAGGTACAAAGGAGATAAAAATATTTATTCCAAACGTCTATTTGTATTTCCAACATCTCATGCAATGGTCTCCACCTTTTTGAGGCTGCAGGCCCACTTGGAATTCTGAGACGCTGTGGTGGGCACAGCAGCAAATGGTTGCCACAGAATGGATGTCACGGGGCTGGCGCCAGCTACAAAATGGCGGCTGTAGTTTATTTTCAGACACACAGTGAAACTCCTTGTGCTGTGGTAGCAGCTGCCAAAGCAATGCTTTAAAACTGAACAGCCAATCAAATCTTCAAGAAGCCTTGCTGGGCAAAAGCACCACGTTGCCTGCCCCCCTTTCTAAAAACACTTGGGTGCCAGGAAAGGCATCAGCAGAACATAAGAACATAAGAGAAGCCAATGTTGGATCAGGCCAAAGGCCCATCCAGTCCAACACTCTGTCACACAGTGACCAAAAATACCAGGTGCCATCAGGAGGTCCAGCAGTGGGGCCAGGACACTAGAAGCCCTCCCACTGTCCCGTCCCCCCCAAGCACCAAGAAGACAGAGCATCTCTTGCCTCAGACTGAGAGTTCCTGTCTATACCTTGTGGCTAATAGGCATTGATGGACCTCTACTCCATATGCTTATCTAATCCCCTCCTGAAGCTATCTAATCCCCTCTTGAAGCAGATGCTATGGCACCTTTGGGCACCATGTTGGGAACTGCTAATCTTATATTTCATCTACTTTTACAAAACGAGGACAGTAGACTCAGGATACTGTAATGAACCAGTGTGTTTCTTCTTATGGAACGCAAGACTGTGTTGTGAGAAAAATAAAATAGTTGGTTCAGAAAATTTAAACCCCATTTATACAGTTAATTTCATAAATAAATCATAGTCTTTTTCTCTCCTCTATTTCTGTAGCTTTCCAAACAGCTAGCAGCACATGACTCCCAACATGATTTTTGCTAGGCCTTTGTCTCAAGAGATATCTTTCCTCCATCGTACACAGGAACTAACATTTGCATTACATTGTTCATGAACCTAAAGAATTTGGAAACATTTAAGAAATAAAAGATTGGTATGCCCCTGCCATTGAGTCAAGGAAGCCAGAATATCTGCAATACTAAGGGTTTGCCTACATGCAGAAACCCACATCTCACCTCCAGCCAGCAGACGGTGCCTGGCTGTCTGCTCTGAGTCAAGGGAACAAAGAACATCCTGAAATTTTAACATTCGTGTTCTTTGCCATTTAGAGATTTAAATGCTATCTTGCATTGTTTTGCAAAGGAGCATCAGGGTGCCCCCATTGCCTCTGGAATGTGGGAACATTTCCTAGGCCATGATGGCCCACATTAACAGAGCAGTTAGATTAATTGATGCAGTTTATAATTTCTATAGCTCTATCGAAATGTATGGGACCAATATAGTATAAAAGAAGGCAAGACGCTTCATTTCAGGACTGACCCTTGGAGATCCAGAAAAGGCTTTGTCTTTCTTGATCTCTCTGGGCCAGTCCAGAGGCTTCTGCTGCATGGGGAAATCTTTGTTCTGTATATTTAACCACTGACTGTTTACTGTTCTTTTTTTTATTCCTTGCTTATCTTTAGCTAATAAACATTTTGATTGTTTAAATAACCTTGTATTGCATTCCAGCTAACTTTCTTTTAACATTCTACCCGGCTTGGTAAGGGGCACTCACCAGACCATTACGAACCTAGAGGTGCAGGTGACACTTTATACAGGGTTGGTTTAGACTGACAAGTGCTACAGGTGCATTCTTACGACAGACTGCATGTGGGAGTGAAGACTGCTGAAGTACTCTTCAGAACCAGTCTCCCATCATCGCCCTTCTGGATCAGCTGCATTTCCCGACCAACAGGCCACTTTTGTTCCACTGACCATCAGAAACTGTCTCATACCATCGTGCAACGTCGGTTGCTGTTGAAGAGTACCTTGAACTGTGAAAGCAGCCACTGGATATAAACTACAGAAGTTTGGTGGGGAGCAGTAGGATGTTTCAGAACATGGCAGAGCGAGTCAAATCGCTCACTGCGAGGTTCATGTTATGCAACCACCACGAGATGAGGAAACAATGTAATGGAGCATGTACACA